GTTAATCTCCATGGCTTCCAATAAATTTAATTTTCTACTTTTTGTGGCTGTATGTAAAATATCAAAATTCTCGTCAAAAATGTGTTTTTCTGTTTTTAAGTGTGTAGCATAATTAGAATCTAAACTATTGTTTTTAAACGCTAATGCGTTTTTTGAAGGATCTACCTGTTTGTCCAATATAAATTTTAGGACAAGATCCACATTTTAACCTGTAGACACCTGATTTTTGGGATTTTGGACATTTCGTTTTATTGTTTTTTAAATATTTTCCTATTGTGTCGTTAGTTGTGAAAGCTATTTTTAAACCACATTTTGACAAATGTTTTGAAACTTTTTCAGTAGGTTCTCCTATGTATGTAATTGTCTTAAATTGTTCGTGTTCTGTATTAGGTTTCGGATAAATAGAGTTTACTGTTGTCTGTATTTGTTTTTTATTTATAATTTTATCTATAATGGACGGATTGTAGCCGTTGTTCAGTGCAATTTGTTTAATGATATTAAGTTCTTTGTTGTAATTTTCTTTTGAGAGTGGCGTATTAAGAAGTCTGTGAAGAAAAGAGTTAAATACAGCCATTTTGTGTCTATAAGGGTGATCTGAGCTGTTATGTATAAATGTGTCCGTGTGTGAAGGGTTATGATATATTGAAAAATCTAATTTGTTTTGCGCTTTCGTAATAGTTAAGTCTAAAAAATTAATAGAGTTATCCTATTCAATTTCGATTGTGAATTTTATACGATTATGTAATGAATTAATGTAATTTAAAAAAGAATTCAATTGTCTGTCCGTTCCAACAAAGCAAGCGAAGATATCATCCACGTATCTATACCACCATAAAAAACTTATACTTAAAGGATGTTCTAGTATGATATTTTCAAAATTATCCATAAAAACCTCGGCTAACAAAGGACTAAGTGGGTTTCCCATAATCAAACCTTCTTTAGAGATATAAATCTATCCATTAAATTTAAAATAATTTTGGTCTAAAGATACTATTAAGCAATCTAATAAATCTTGTTTCACCAATGGGTTAACCTGTTTCCGAGTTAGGGTGAAATCTACGAAATCTATCACATCCATAGGTGGAATACTGGGAAATAAGTTTTGTACATCAAAAGACAATAGAGTTGCGTTAGTTAGATTTTGATATCTCTAATTTTGTTGATTAATTCAAAAGAATTTTTTATTGCAAATTTTGGTTTAAAATCTGTGTGGAACTTGAAAATATTTACTAATTTTGTAGAGAGTTTAACTGCTGGAGCTGTTGACACGGTGTTGTCGAAACATAATATATAATTTCGTGAAAATATGAACTTTTAGTTCTTATTTATTTTATTAAATGGATTTTCATCAAGTAAAAGCCACCTCAGTTCAATAATAAATTATAGTTATAATAATAATTAATATTACTGTTTATTTTTAGTTTACATTATTGTAGACGGCAGACTAAAACACCAACTATATAAAATAGTTTTATATCGAGATCTCTTTAAATTCATACATTAAAGTAACCTTTCACGTTAAAAATCGCCCTTTGTAGAGAGAACAATTTTCCGCCTGTCAAGCTCAGGAGTTCAAATGTAAAAAAGTTTAGCACCAAAGCGGAGCATATGGATTTCAAAAGCAAGTCGGAGGGAAACACTCAAAAACAGGTGTTTTTGTTCGAGTTATGTGCCATTTTTTGTCAATTTTTCCTGAAGTTTTGTTTGTCGACGAAACCAGGAAATCAATTATTGCCATTAGGTTAGAGGGAATCTGTTACTTAACATCCCGGAATAAATCAATAAAATCCCTGTCACTACTAGATCAAGTTAGGACGACGTTTATATATTTTGATATACTTTTGTCTTATTGGTTCATGGGTGGGTCAAAGCAACCAACAGCTTAACACACGGTTAAACGAGAAGATAAAATGTAATGGCGGCTGCAATTCGGAGAGTCGTTAGCGAAGCCATTTCCCCAAGGATAGAAAAAAGCAAAATTTTGCCCTGTGAAAGCTGCTTGCACGGCAAGCCATGGGGAAACGGTCCGTGATTAAAATACTTTTCAGACGATCCGATCAAAAGAGACGTTAACTACCTTAGTTACGAATATCTCGCTTTTGTTTTGATGTATTTCCGTGTTCGTATAAACTGCGCGCCGCCCAGGTATGAACTAACCAACAGTCCTCATTTTTCCAACCGTTTTGCCCCTTTTTGTTGAAAATGTACGAGCTGTGTTCAAAAATTCAGGTTGTAGTTGGACGGGCTACGTACATTCGATCTTTGACATTATTTTGTTGTTGTTTGTACACATCTCCCTCACATATGTTCACCGTTTCAGCCAGTTTGAACGTTACCTTTTTTTGTGAGACGTGTTTTGTGTTCTCGATGATTTTGTGCTGCAAAATACTTTAAATATTGACAACATATGGTGAATCTACTTTCCAACATGTTCCAACATGACCGAGAAGACGAACCTCGCTCTGCACGTCCCAGCACGTCAATTGCTTGTGAAAGCATTGAAAAAGTGGTGTTGAAAAATCATCGAATCGCTATTAGAGAAGTGACTGAATACGTCGGCATCTCTATTGAATCGGGCGATGCAATTTTTTCCGAAATTTTGGGCATTTTTGGTATATCAGCAAAATTTGTTTCGAATCTGCTTAGTTTTGAACAAAAGGACCTTCGAAAGAGCATCGCTCGAGAGTTGTTAAAAGACGTCAATGATGATTCTGTTATGCTCAAAAAGGTGATAACTGGTGACGAATTATGGGTTATAACGCCGAAACCAAAGCCCAGTTTGTCCCAATGGGAGAACCCGGAATCGCCAAGACCGAAAAAAAGCACGTCAAGTTCGATCAAATGTGAAGGTTTTGCTTTCTATTTTCTTTGGCGTAGTACATCAAGAGTTCTTACCACAAGGTCGTACGGTCAATGAATAGCATTACCTTGAAGTTATGCGCCGTTTGCGAGAAGCAATACGAAGAAAACGTCCGGAATTTTGGAAAATCAATTTATATTCGATTCTTTAATCATTTCATTCATCACGTTAATGCACCTGCTCATTCATCGTTGGTTGTGTCTAACTTTTTGGCCAAAAACAATACCACAAGCATGCCTCAGCCACCATATTCACCGGATATGGCCCAGTGCGACTTTTTCCTGTTCCCATGAAAGTAAGGAGGTTTGCAAGGATTGAGGAGATAGAGAAAAAATCGCTATGCTTCGAGGATTGGAAAAAACGTTGGCACAAGTGTACTTTTTGATAAAACTTAAAAGCCACTTTTTGAACACACCTCGTACTCGGGGTCTGCAACCAATTATAGACTATCAGCACGCCCAAACAACTAGTGGGTCTCTTATTACGGGAACCGATAAAAGTGATACCTCATATTTTTTCATTTAATACGCTCTTTACATTGATTGTCCGTGAAGTCAAAAAACCCGATGCGATTTTATGTGTTGCCCCCGTAGCCTTACTTGCAGTATGTGAAAAAGTCAAATCGCAATTCCAAAACAGGAACTGATGATTATAATCGAACGAGCTGGTAAACTGGAGGAATCAATCTGGCGACAGTACGAGATCCGTAAATCAATTTATCGGGGAGGATATTAAGATGTGATTACAATAATTTCCCGATTCTGATTACAAAGTCAAATCATATTCGCTTGACAGAAACTAATAGCTTCGGAGCGTCGGCGATGGCGAGAACGTTTGATTTAGCTAATTTTCACTCCTCCCGAATTCGCACGCCTGTGTATGGGCGTGTGTCTGCGTGGTGGCGAGTACGAGTGAAGGAACAGAAACGTTTCGATTTACATTTCCGCGTAATTGCTTTTATTTCTAATCCGTTTCATAGCTTAAAAAAATATGGCAGTTGAAGGAATATTGACAGCTAAACGAAGATCGCTCATTTTCCAAAATAACAAAGAAGCACAGAAAATTGATTTGAAAACCATCTGATCAAGGTCTATCTTTCTTCAATTTCGTGTATGTGGCTCTGATTATATCGTCATTATGCCTGGTCTCCTGGTTCGTTTCTCGGAATAATGAAGATATACCCTCGATCAGAGCCGTTGCAGCAGACAACCTAAAAGAAGAATACAAGGCTACTTCTCCTAGCTTGGTGTTCTTGATAACGTGCATTAAACGACATTTGAGTTTATTTGGTACGAGCGAAGCACAGCGGAGCGAATGTTTAATAAACGAGTGACATAAAAAATTTGTTGCGTACTATACTTTTTCTACGACTATTAGTTTTTGGGTGGTGTCTGGACCACATTATCATTTGCATTTGGGAAAGGAAAAAGACGCAACATACAATTTGCTTCGATATTGAAACCCCAGCGCTAATTGGTCGAATGTGTTGTGGGCTTTAATTTTTCGATCATAATGTAATAAGAATTTAAGAACTTTGACTAAGAATAAGTATGATAAATACAATATACAGTACAATACAATGCTAAGTAAGCCAACCTTTTTCTCTCTTAAGACGGCGCCAGATAAAACTTAACTTTGGATGTTTTAAAAGTATACTTACCTTTGACCTCTTTTATATCTGTAAATCGTGTCTATTCGAAAAGTGGCTTTAGTTTTGGTTTACGTGACCTCTACATCAGACGCAGGCTTTCCGTCTTCCTCCACTGAAGAATGAGGTTCTTCCCACAGTTTAATCTGATCAATTTACTCCACTAGTGTTGCTAGTTGTTGCACATTATGGACTGTGGGAAACGATTTATTGCGGAATAAATCGTTATTTCAAGATTTTCCAGAACATCACAGGGAGGAACAGATAGGAACATCGTCGAAGAGTTCTTGCTGCAGGCTCGCGAGATAATCGATGTACGTTAGCTACGCCTATGCGAGTTTCATTTTCCCCATTTTCCTTTTCTCGTCGTTCTGCGGGTGATGATTAAGAACGACACAAATGTTTGATTCACCCACGCCGACCCTAATTACGGGGTCGGTTCCATACAACCGGAATCGATAAAATTATAATTCCAGAATTTATTTGTTCCAGGAACAGAGTCACAAGTCGTATCGGCCTCTCTGCGTGCTCACCTTTCGACTCAATTACTTGTTCGGGCAGCTGGAGCCCATGGGTTATCATCTCGTCAACATGTTACTGCACTCGGTGGTGTGCTTGATGTATTTCAGGTAAGACTGGGATTGTGTCGAAAGTAATCTGGCGAAATAAAGCGGTCGTAATTAGAATTCGCTTTCACGTCACGAACATTCTTCGTGGTAATTTCCATACTAATTAATATCCGTTTATAACAATGCGAGGTTCCGTGAGTAATTAATTGGGTTTATCTGCCACGCGGAAGCTCCTTGTCTATACGGGGTGTCCCCGGCGGGAACTACACTGCTGAAGACGGAATCCCAGCCAGAGTCAGCAAGATTGGCTTTGATAAGTTTGCCTCGCTGCAGTAGCAAAGTGACATTTTAATAAGAATGATTTGATATTTTGACAGACTTCACTGTTGTAGCAAAGTGAACTTGTTTTCCTGTTTCGGCAGATAATTTTTTTGCTGCTATCGTTTTTTGGCTGTTATATTAACGACATTTTGGTGGTTTATAAAGTAATATCGTCCAGACCAGGAAACATATTTCAATTTTCTTAAATTAAAAATTAGAAAGCTATTTTGTTCCTTATTTTCTAAGTCAAATGCCTCCTTCTAGAGGGGTTAAAAGTTTTTGCTGACAAAATTTTTATTTAACATTTTATTTTGTGGATTCTCGTGGATGAACGATTTTTAATAATGTTTTATGTATGCAACACCACTTTAATCACGAGTTTGATTTGGCAGGAGCGCATCGAATCTTTAATAAGCGAGTGACTGAAGGAAGTTTGTCAATGTGTTTTATACAACGATTTTTCTACGACCATTGATTTTTGAGTACATTTTCGTGAAAACGGCATGAATACATTGACTGAGTGCGATGTATGTACTCAAAAATCAATTTAGAACATTTCTGTCTGGTACATAAATGAATAATTTCAGTTTTCTGTTGCAATAGCCAATCATCATTAAAGTACTACATTTTGGTGTAAATTTTTGACAATCAATGAACAACAGTCAATAACAACGAAGCGACTAATACTCGCCTCCTTCGAATAAATGCGTAATTTCAAATACTAAAAGAGTTTCTTTGGTTTACTGAACTTATTCCAAATTAGAGCCTCGCACTGTATCTTCTCCACCGCGTTCGTTTTATCCATTTTTCGGTTGAGACGCCGTCAGAATCTGACACGCTTGAGCGGGTTAAATATTCACAAGTCTATATCTGGGGAGATGCGTCTGAGGCGGTTATTTTCGCATAAAACTTCGACCGGAGAGCAAGTCGTTAGATATTAAGAATATCAAAGTATCGTTACTGCGTTATTCCTCCTTCCATGCTCAGCCATCAAAACCACCCCTGCGAACCGGAGAAAATATATCGAAGTTATATAATCGACCAAGTCGTTTAAGGGCGACAGCGGAACCATTCGAACAACCACGTCAGCTGGCCTGGATTAGTTTCAATCACAGACTATACAGGATGTATATATGTTTAGTTTGCGGTTTCTTGGGTTGCATTAATAAATAAAAATAGTAACCAGAATTAATTATTTTTACATACCGAACCTAATTACCGGCGGAAAAATATTTCCCTTTTTGACTAACTCTCCGACAATTCCACCGGTTCGTGTCTTGTTTCCTTCAACATACCGCAGAAAGTTTTTAGTTTTCGATCTTGTCCGTTCCTCGACAACCCTAGCCTTTGTACTTTATCTATTTTAATATTATTCTTACTATATAAGTTTTTGTTTACTCCATATTAGAATATTTCAATTATCTTCAACTATCTTATTATTATATTATATTTCTTATTCTAGTAAATTACCTATAGTAGGGCCGCTGTCACATTACCATCATTCCCCAAACTCGTCTTGCTATTGTATGCGAATTAGTGTGACCCTAATTTAAGAACCATTCGAGGTGCCAGGACAAAATGATATTGTCAAATTTATACCTGACAACTGAGTAAATAAGTTCATATATTATGCGACAAGTGCGATAATAGTATATTATGCTACAAGTGCGGTAAACGGCATTTGACTCACGAGTGAGTTAAAAAGTTTACCGAACGTGTTGCATACTATACTTTTTCTACGACCGTTAGTTTTTGGGTACATTTTTTCAAAACAGCACGAATACATTCACTGACATGACCATCAGAAATGAGAAACGTCAAAATTCAAGCCGTGCGGTAAAATCTCCGAAAACATCCGGTCCCAAAGTTCGAAGTGGCTCGGATTCGTGGGAAAATGACGTCTTAAAATTACACTTTCCGCACGCGAGATCGGTGTATAGTAGGTATTTTATAGAAGGGAGTAGAAAAAATATTTCTTTCTTGAAAGACCATTAAAGGAGCAAATTTTGGATGTTTTTTCTTAAGGGTTCAAATTATTTCCTCTCTCAAAATAGCCATGTTTTTAGACCCTCAATACAGTGTGTCCCAAAAATGCTAATACAAAAATTATTCACGTAAAACTAAAACCAAATTGCCAACCCGCGTCTTCAACTTTTAAAGACGGCTTGTTTCGGACTAATTAATCATATCACGAAAAAAAAAATGCGGGGAAAAAACAACAGCTATCGACCGTTGGGCGGGGGCGGTGGAGGGGGGACAACATGCGGCAGTGTTTTCCGCATAACCGGGGCCGCAGTTGACGCTGATCTATCCATTTAAGGCAGCTGCATGATACGTCGATAACCCACGATAAACCCTCCGACTAAACTCATCTATCCCCGCCGATTTATTGCCGCTGTTTGTCTGGGCCCCCTCGCGGCCCCCCGCGTTATTGAATACGACCGTGGCAGAAATATGGGCAAGGTAAAAATAGTAAAAATGATTTTTCAAACGGTGGAAGAAATTGCAGGGTGACGCGGATGAAATCGATTAATTGGCAACGTCGCATCTCTTCGAGGTGCGGGTTTTTCGCCAAATTATTATTTTTTCAAAGTTAAAACATATATTCATTATGTTATTTATATAATGTTCCTATATTATGCTATACATGTGTAACTTCTGCCTCAGGAAACATTAAACTAGAATTAAAACTAAAGGGATCTTTATTGCCTGGGCGTAAACGAATAATTACAAATCCAAATGCCGTGTAAACGCACGAGGTACATTAACCTCGCGGCGGCCTCGCTCCTATTCGTTCGGTTCTTCATTTTCAAACGAGGTATCCATTAGAAGTTCCCGATCAGAAGCCCCATCGATTCGTACCGTACAAGCACAGACCCACGACATGCATTGACAACGAAAATTCATAAACCATATAACAGGGAATAAATATTGCAAATTACAATGTCCGAAAAGAAAGTAATTTTATTTAGTTATTTAGAGGGAAAATAAATGATGTTGTTTACTGCTTAGAATTCAAACTCATCATTAAAATTTTTGAAAATGCACAAAACTAGGAAAGCATCTTTCGTAAATACTGACAAATGTATTTTAATTAAAAAAGATTTTTATGTAAGTGATTTTTTTTTTGGCAAAATGTTAAATATTCTTTGTCTAACAATTAACCATAATAATCTTGCGCCCCGCGGTCTGGTCTGGTAGACTAACCGTCTAAAATCAACACAAGGACAGGAGCTATCCATAACTTGCAAAATAATTAACGGAGTTGTCCCATTTTTGGGCGCAAGTATAGCTTAAAGTCCAACTTAAAGATATTGCTGTAAGTAGTTCGTCACCATTAACATCCACACACAAACGATGCCGTCGAACTGCAGCACGAACTACTAGCTGCAAAGTGTTCAGTAGGATATTTGCACAAGAATGTACGATGGGTTCTCGAAGTTCATCCATCTTTAGCTCCTCTGGATTGTTACCTGTGGGAATACTAAATGACGTCGTTTATTGGCAAAGCCGGCATACTTACAGTACAGTGCCATCTAAGAGTACTAGGAACACTTTGCGTCCGAGGAAGTATCCCGACTCTCCACGAGAGAGGGCTCTTTTAGGGGAGGAAGCGAAGTTCGGAAGGTCTGAATGCAGCGCCCTCACCGTCAGGACAGGGAGATGTCCTGCAAATAGAATAGGAACCTCTATTTTGCGCCATTTTCTCATATACATAACCCAATAACGCCCAGCATCCTCATTTGAGCACAGCTGATATACTTGGGGGCATCCTGAACATTCACGAACTGGACTTTACATATGGTTGATTTCTTTTATTTACAAATTCGATTTTGTTCAAAATTATGTCCAGAAAAGCCAGGACATTGGAGCAGGCTGATGAATATTTACATTCAGAACAAATTGATGTCGATATCGCAGCATTGTTCTCAGAAGTTGATGACTTGACCGATGAAGATGATACCAACGATGAAGCTATTGGTATAGCGACCGTACTAGATATCCCATAGTCCAGATAAAGCAACTTCTTCTGATGGAGAAGACAATTTACCACTTTCAAAGTTTCCTAAGTGAGAAAAAAGTGAATCTACTTCGTTGCCAACGAACTTTAATATATCCGAATCAAACTATGAAACTGTGGGCTTTGAAGATTTCCAACAGGTGTTTGAAGTCATAGGAGAACAATTGTCGAATGCTTTAGAAATGTTCGAATATTTTTTGACGATGCCGTTTACGATCACCGATACAATACGGTATACAAGAACACAAAAAAAAAACACGAATATTCAGCAAGTAATGAAGAAATCAAAATTTTTATTGGGGTTTTGAGTTTACTGGATATCATTCGTTACCCAGTGAGAGGAATAGTGAACGTTTCAGAAAGTGAGGTATTTTCCATGACCACTTGTCAATTGATGAGATGATTGTCAGATATTACGGATATCACCTGATAAAACAGTTTATAAAAGCAAAACCGATAAGATTCGGTTTCAAACTGTGGGCTCTATGTGACGATAATGGATACTGCTCTAAAGTTCCACTTTATTGTGACAATGAACCTAAAGATCAACCTGACGAACCAAAAAATCTTTAGGAACCAGAGTTGTCACCAATATGTTAGAAGTAGTGGTACTGGTACGACACAGGAATACCGAACCGCAACAATGTTATCAAAGAATTTTGTAAATGAGCCTGAAGGATTATGTGATTTGGTGATTTGACGTTAACAATACAATTCT